GTGCAGCCTACTGTAGGTGACCCTGCTTTGGCAGGGGTGTTGGACTAGATGACCCACAGAGGTCCCTTCCAACCCCCACCATTCTGTGATTCTGTGGTGTAATCTATTTAAAAAAATCTATGCTAGAATAAGTTAGTTAGTTAGTTGAATACCTTTCTTTTTAGCTATACTGTGTACGAAGATGAATACTCCTGAGTCACACCTTGCTTTGAGTTGGTTTTTTTCATGCGGTTTATTGTTTTCTGTTAGTATACCTCATTTTCTTCTTCATGGTCATTCTAAGAATTTAATTTTCTCATAGAAATAATACTAAATTGCACAGTAATTCCAGCCATGCTGTTGCAGAATAAATTACATTCTAATGTTATCTCTAGATAACAGAGTGACTGAAAACTGTATCTAACAATAGCTCTTGAGATTACAGCCTAAGTGAGAAACACAGGAAAGCCTGTTATGTAACATATAATAAAATGCCCAGTTTTTTTATATGTTTAGCTCACATGAATGCTGATCAAAATATTCAAGAAAATGATACAAAATAAATATTACTGCAAATAATGACAGTGTGTCAGTCTCCTAAGAGAAGCAAGAGCAAAGTCCTCAGACTAAACTTGCAGTAGGTGTTTCTGGTTGGTGATTACTCATGCTCAGAGCGTAGCTAGTGATTTTCCTACACACCTGTATTTCAACCCAGGGCAAGAAATGCCTAAGTATATAATTTTCCTCAGTCCAACAAGTGCTCCATAATTCTGCTCCTTGACTAAGAAAGCTTAAATCTGTTCCTTCTTTGTGTTTGCATCTGAATTGTTACTATCTAGATTGCTTTGTATCTGGGTGCTGCCCATATCTCCATAAACAAGAACATATTTATTCCAGCACCTTCCAAATTTCAGCTCTTTGTTCATCATTCTGGAACTGTGTGTTATGTGCAAACAGTCTATGGTATTCCAAAAAACACCCCCAGACTGTGAAGATGAACAATATTCCTTCCCCATGACCTCGGACAAATATAGACTTGGTGAATAGTACTCTGAGTGAGGCTACAGAATGATCAGTTGTGATTCGCAGCAGTCATGTTATTAGGATTTTACTGTCTCCATTTTTGCTCTATTTTTCTGTGTTTATGCAGTTTAGTGTGTAAGCTGTACATACCAGCATTACTTTTCTGTACATGTAATAACAGCACTTGAACTGAGATGAGCCATCATCCCATAAGTGCAGAGCAGCGGTCTATACGAGACTCTTCCTTCTAGACTCTCGCTTCCACGCGGGCAGCAGCGGTGCTCCGCTTCCATGCCCAGCCTTCCCCCGTCTCCAGTCTGCACAGAAGGAAGCTAAAACAGCACGATGAAGTGCTCCTTCTTTCAAGACGCAGCAATGTTACATAGATGGCGTAACTCAGGCGAGCATTGCAGAGGCAGCAATTCAGAAAACTTGTGTCTAACAGTGGGTGATCTCCTGGTGAGAAAAACTCTGTGGTTTCCTCTTCCCTGAACTCTTTGGGAAAACTCCCCGAGGGATTTTCTGCGGGAGGTGATCCAGGTTGTGCAGAACAGACAGTGAAATGGTTTCTTCAACTAGTCACTTAACTTGGCTTTTCTCACCCCGATCACGGTATTTTTTTCCACGGGTAGCTGCCTACTTGATTAATCTCATTTCCCCTGGCCCTCAGCCTTCCCAGTCACCGTCCAGCTGAGCAAACAAAGGGGCGGGCAGCCATTTGAAAAACGCTTCCTCCTCCAATCCCTCTGGGGTAGGCCCTCCACTCATCCTGTCCGTAAAACAACTGTTCTAACAATCTCTGAGAAACGCGTTTCTTCACTGTTACTTGGATCAAGAAACCTCCACTGGGATCAGCTTTAAAAGGCTGACTAAAGCCCATGGCACTTGCACCCGTTAGGAAAGCTCGGAGTAAGCGGCCGACGTCACATTACGGTCTGAATTTCCATAGTCAGCCTCTGCGTCACACATACACGTGTTAAAAAAATAAATGCCACATGAGGAAAACTTTTAACAAACCTCTGAAAAATAAACCTTGAGTCCTAAATGGGAATCGATGCTCTGCTCAAAGCCACTCAAACGCATGGAGATGGCATGACGTTCGTCAATGGAAATGCAACATAATTAATGTAGAAACTTTAATTGTTTCTACTGGAGCCGACCGCGAGCAAACGCCCGCCGACCAGCGCCGCCAG